ACAATGTTGGTCGATGTTGGATAATGACAGTTAAATGATGGTCAATGTTGATCGATGTTGGACAATAACAGTTAAATGATGGTCAATGTTGATCGATGTTGGTTTTGTTTAGATTTATCCGAATAAATATATAATTTTGACAGTAATAAATGTTTTATTAATGTTTCTGATCGTAACATTTGCCTCCCCTTAAAAGAAACAGAGCGCCTGCGACTGTTTAAGTTATTTCCACCATTCGGCGACCTTTTTGAGCCAATTGTTGTAGTTCTTCGTAATCGAGTAATCCGAGTTTAATAAACGTTCCTCGTGGTACTTCGAGAAGAAATTCCATATTTATAGAAAAAGTAGAACTTAGCCAATCCGCTATTTTTAATCGTGTCATTTTTGTTTTCATCCGAGGTTGTTCTCCATCTCCTGTTATGTATTCGAATTTGTCGAATTGTGTTAGATTTTCCGTTATTTGATTAATTTGTTTTCCAATTAAGGCTAGACAATATAATTTTTGTCCGTCGTTTCGTCTAGTTTTTACATAACGATTCCATTCTTTTTTATATTTTTGTATTTTTGTTTTTGGATCGATTGTCGAATCAATATTTTCTTTCTTTTTTGATTTTGTTTGTCGACTAGCTGTTTTTAGGATTTTGTTCAATTCTTCGATTTTTTGTTCCTTTTTTGTTTGTAATTCATTAGTCGTTGTTATTATTTCGTCATGGGTTATTGGTATTAGAGGAGATGTTGTTGTTAATTCTAAAGGAAAAAAGTCGGTTTGTTTTTCTAATTGTGAAGGTCCTTCCATTATTTCGTTGGCTAATTGCCTTAATATTGTTGCGTATTCGTCGGGAGTTTCGTTTACTGACATTTTTGTTTTCCTGTATTATTGGATTTTGTGATTTACGTTGTTTGTTGCACCGTATATTTAAGGTATTATTACCACGTTGTTATTGAAATAAACTTTTCTGCTCTTTTTATATTGTAGTAATTTCTCTTTTGTTGGGGGTGTTATTACTACAATTGGTTGATTGTCGTCAGTCTTGGTATTTGTTTTCCCCTCTTCATTTGACAATTCGTCCTCGAATGTTTCATTTAGTTCTTCTTTAGATTTGTACTTCTTTAATCGATTTCCATGTATGAATTTCGCGTGAATTCCATTTTCGTCGGTCAATTTGTATGCACCATTACCAAGTTTTTCCCATACTGTATATGGTCCATCCCATTTTGGATCTAGTTTTCCGCTCCACTGTTTATCTGCTTTACTTCTATATACGAGGACTAATTCTCCAATGTCATATTCTTTTGGGGTAATATGTTGGTCATGTCTTTCTTTTTGTTTTATTTGTGCTTTTTCTATATGTTGTTTTGCTTCATATCGTTTTTGGTCTAATAAGAATATGGTGTCGTATATTCGTTTTTCTATTGCTCTTTCGATACTATCGTCTATTCGTGGTATTTGGGTTGGTATTTCTAAATCTATGGGCAATAACGCAGTTCTTCCGTACATCAAATCGAAGGGTGTATATCTAGTAGTATCATGACATGCGGTTCGATACGCTAATAGCGTTGCAGGAATATGGCTGTCCCAATGTGTTTTGGATTGTATGGATAATTTCGACAACGATTCGCATAACGTGCGATTAAATCGTTCTACCAATCCGTTTGTTTGAGGGTGATAAGGTGAGGATAATGTTCTTTTGATTTTTAATCGCTCACATAATTGTTTGATTGTTTCATTTACGAAATGCGTTCCTTGATCGGATAATATTTCTAAAGGACATCCATGTCTGGCGATTATATCTTCTTTAATAAATTTTTCAACATTGGCTGCGTTAGCTTTTCGAATAGCTCTAGCTTCCGGCCATTTTGTTAAGTAGTCCATAGCAACTACTATAAATTGATTTTGATTCGAAGTAATTGGAAGTGGTCCAACAATATCGATACCGATACGATCAAATGGTCTTCCTACCCTAATCGGGTTTAACGGTTCAGTTATTTTTGGTCGGCCCCGTTGTTGACAGATGGTACAAGTTTGAATGTATTCTTTTACATCTTTGGTAATGTTCGGCCAAAAGTATCGTTCTTTTATTTTATTGATTGTAATATTTTGTCCAAGATGTCCAGCTGTTTCGTCGTCATGTAAGTTTTTTAAGATAATGTCTCTTTCTGTTTCTTTTATTACTCGTTTTAATTTTTCTTCATTTTTTAAATGATATAATTTTTCTTCGATTAATCTGTAGTTGTTTTCGTGTTTCTTTAAATACTTTTGTTGATCAGGCGATAATTTCGCGATTGAATCGGGCTGGGTAAGGTAAGTTATCCAAGTATTATAGATTATTTCGTCCATTTTTAT